GATTTTTATGTTGTGAATATTATTATGCGATATACATATTGTGTGACCGGAAGTCGTAGAGAACTCTTGACTTGTCTTCGCTTAAACGTTATCTTGTTGAGTAGCGTTTATTGGGCCTTGGATCATTTTATGGAAAACATCGATCAGAGTAAAGCCTTGGATTGTTTATGTCTGAATATTTTGTTCAATGACCTTGATGTATCACGTTCACTCTGCGAGCCATTTGCCACGCGTCTTGCTGCCATTCGTTTCCCTGAAGAGTCGCCGAAGCTGTGATCTAGGGTAAGTTCGCTGCTGGCTACATCTAAACGAGTTAGTCATGATTCTTCTTACCAACAGAGACAGTGTCCGCTGCCCAAACAGTACCCACTGGACGGGTCTGGCCTCTGCCTTTTCGATTTTGGGCCATTGGCTCACTATTTTTAGTACGTTCGATTGGGGAAGTCATAAGGCTTGGCAAGGCCCGCTTCTGACAAATCCGTCATCAGAGACGTCGTTTCCTAAGCTCTCTTGCGCCCGCTTTCTTCACATAGCTGTAATACACGGAATGTGTAACTACCAACGTAAAGAGTTTTATTGTAACAGACTGAGTGATAAACTGATTATGGCACGCCGGTTTCAGTTCGTCAGTGCTTCGACGCCGACGGAACGAGTTTCCTCCAAGTCTCGAAAGTCGAATCATTCACATGTCATGCGCCATGTTCATGCCAAGAAACGACGCTTACGAACCCAAAGATACCAGGATGAATTGATAAGTGCCGGCATGGGAGTGGACCAGACGGCCTCACAGATTGGTCTCTCCAGCCCTCCAATCCTGAGATTTGCTAGCAGCGGGGATCCATTTTCGTCCCTGGCAAGACCTTTATCATCCGAGGAATACTTCCTACTGGATCACTGTATGTCCGCAGATACCTTTTACTCTATCTAGATTCTGGTTTTATACGTTATTTGGGGCATATCCCACCAATATCCCCAATACGTTGTTATATGCCTGACTTGATTGTAGATATCCAGGTTGTTATGCCGTACTCTATCGGACACTGTGGTCTGTTCGATTATGACGGCGACCACCGGAATCAGATGCTTCAAGAATGGGTCGGCCTTGCTGTTAACGACGACATATTCATGACTGTTGCTATTCTGCTGAGCACATGTCGCTACGTTCTACACGACCGGCCTGGCGACCCGTTCTTCACGCAAATGGTTCTGTGGTACAAGCAGATATGCCTCCGTTCATTACGCTTGGAGATTGAGAGTACACCGTCCTGCGTCAACGCCATGAGTGTTGCCAAGGCATTAGCACTTGCGATAGATGAGGTGAGCCTGCTCAACATAGCTTGCATCCGCCGCGTAATATGCAGGAGTAGGCAGCTGATGTAATGTCTTTTAGGTGAATTCGGGGGAACAGAGCATTGCTCGGAAACATTTGCAAGGCGTGCTTGCGATGGTGCAGTTTAGCGGTGGCCCAAGATCGATTGGTCTAACAAGTTTACTGGAGAGGATGTACCACATATTTTTGAGGGAATTACGGCTTGCAGACCCAAGGATAGAGTAACTAGGCGCTGAATGGTAGCTGCCCAGCTGTAATCACTTCTCCTCTTCTATGAACTGTGGGCCATTGGGATTGTATCTTATGCTAGGTAAAAATGAATTCCCGATCTATCGTAAGGTCCATCCCATGACAAATCCCGATGCCAAGAGTTATAATTTCCCTATTGGGAGATGCTAGCTGGGGAGAGCCCTCCTTGCGTTGACACTCGTCTACACTGATGTAAACTCAGCTTCGTGATTTGCTGAGCAGGATTTTCTTCCCCTTCATGCACATGAGACTGATGAGTATTTACTTGGACTGATCTGTAAGCACAAAAGTCTGGATCACATGTCGGCATGGGGCGGAAGAAAAGCTATAAAGGAGGCATCAAACCCAGTTCTGTTCCCTAAACCAGCAAGCACCTACTCTGATACAGTCCATTTGTACACACTATCCGTCCCGATATCACCAACATCATGTCCTCTTTAGACACAACCATTCCCAACGGCTCCTGGGTTCTTGTAACCGGCGCCACCGGATTCCTCGCCTCCCACATCACCCTCCAATTCCTGAAGCGTGGCTTCCGGGTCCGGGGTGCCGTTCGGGACGTAAATAGGGCTTCATGGCTTCTTGAAGGCGCTTTGAAATCCTACGCAGAAGGTGGTGCCCTCGAGCTAGTAGCTGTACCTGATCTCGGGGCTGATGGCGCCTACGATGAGGCCGTCAGGGGCGTTTCGGCTATTTTACATGTCGCCTACGTGACGACGATCGTCCCTGACCCCAACGAGGTAATTATCCCATCAGTAAACGGCGTCAGGTCCATCATGAACGCAGCCATGAAGGAATCATCTGTGAAAAGGATTGTGTTTACCGGCAGCGCCGTGTCTGCTTCAGCTCTAGCTCAGGGCATCGACAACGGCACGGTAGGGCGCGACTCATGGAACGACGCCGCCCTCGAGGCTGCTTGGGCCCCGCCTCCTTATGGGCTATCGCACGCAATGGCTAATTATCCCGCCAGCAAAATTGCTGCTGAGAAGGAAGTGTGGAAGTTTGTGGAGGAGAACGATCTCCCTTTCACAGTCAACGTCGTGGCCCCTGCGGGACTGACGGGAGAACCCCTCAACAAGGCTCACATCGAGGGACCGGCCAATTGGGTTGTTCACGCCTTCAGAGGTAACACGCAGTTCATGGACCCAATGTTTGCCAGTAAGAATCCAATCTCCTTTTGACTTGAGACGCTTGTGTTTGGCCGTCTGATCTGATGTTGTATAGCCTTTTACGGTGACGTGAAAGATGTGGCAGCGATACATGTTGCAGCCGTTCTGGATCCCGAGACCAAGAATGCGCGTCTGCAGAGTTGGGGACACAGTGCCCACTGGAACGATATTTTGGCTATTCTCCGCAAGATCCGTCCAGAGAAGCAGTTCATAGACGACTACCCCAACCCTCAGCATCTGAAGATATCGGTCGACCAGTCGGACTGCATCGCTCTCCTGAAGAAGTGGTCCGGCAAGGATGGATGGACGCCGTTGGAGGACAGCGTCCTGGACAATATTAACAACCAGTACTTGATTGATTAAGCTAGTTACTGAAACATAAAGTGCTTGTTATTATCGGCTCTTTAGTCAATTATCATTTACCTCTGATTGTGATATCTCGCCCACGTAAGCTTCACAAACTTGAGAGTAAATAATGAGGATAAAACACGAGCCCCTAGGAATGATAGAACGTTATACACCGTAAAGTATTCTTGAGTCTCTAGTTATGATTATTAGAGGAGATCCCAATTCTGTAGAAAGTAGATCAATATCTTGCTTTTTTTTAAAAAAGCTTATGAAAATCCATTCACCTTGAAGTAGAGCGAGGGCGACTTTTCTTATATCCGGGAACACCAACCTCTGTGTCATACCTGGGAAAGCAAAAAGCAACAGGGGATAAAGACACTCTTTACAATCTGCACGATACAGAGCCGTAACCTCTAGCTACAAAGCTGAATTTGCCACTGGATGCCGACGAGGGTATCAGCACCAACATCTTGGGACTTTCGGATTCCGGGAATAGAATGGACACTTCCAAAACGTGGGTGACCGCGAAGACGATGATTCTGTCCGACGATATGAACATGTCCTCATGCCGCCATGCTTCCAAGAGATAAACTCATGGTTTCGTGGTCTAGTTGGTCATGATTTCTCGCTAACATATTCTGTTTGTACCGAGACGGTCCCCGGTTCGAGCCCGGGCGAAACCACGCTTTGTTCTCTTTTTGCCCTTGCGCGATACTCACGTATAGAAAACCTCCCACAAGGCTCTAGTGGAAGGCGTTAGGAAGCGCTATCGATGACGATTGCGTTCGGTCTCGACGGTAAATGTGAGGCGCTGATTTTGCGTAGAAGTGGGCTACACTCGTACAAGCGACTTAAGAATGGACGTTGGGGGACAAGTAAACCGACATTTGGTTGCTTTGACAATGTGATTCAATTGGGAATATGTATTTCTGCCATATGATGTGGGAGACATCTTGGAGTTGGCTGTCCATGCCTCTGCTCAAGCATGCGATCCCCTTGGGTGTGTTGGGCCTTGGTGCTTGAGCCCCGGGAGGTCCTGGCGTGTCCCCACAAGCGCAGAAATCGTTACATTAGCTGTTGGTGCCAAAGCAAGAGCATGAAGTCCTGGAAATTACACCAAGCTCCAAACGCTCGATGCCAATGGGGAGGGTCCGGCTAAGCGCTGGCGACTCCCGGGGTCTCATTGGCGGAACGGACAGAATAAGCGCCAAGTGTGTTGCATTCGCTCGGTAGTTGGCCCACTGATGGGCACTTGTGTCTATGAAGGAATCTGCCCCTGTCAATTGTTGGTTGAAGAGCACGAGTCTCACTGGCCGAGACTGGGGATGCGCCTTTGGGGTCCATTCCGCTGCCGAAGTGGGCTGAACGTCGTGCGAGCGCGGTTCGACACCTAAATTAGGAGCACACCATCGGGAACTGGCTTGGAGTTGTCAAAAAGTAGCTGACTGCAGCAGTGATATGATCTCTGCCATCTGCTTAAATGGATTAGCTCATTTGAAGTAAGCTCTTACTGTTTGTGCTTGTACGCGCTCAGAGAAATAGAGAAACTACAACCCCTGTTGGCCCACCAGATAGACTGTTGGTACTTAGCTCGAGCGGCATCGATGGGGGTTCATCCCTAGACTGTTCCATCTTATGCATGTTGGTTGCGAAGTTGGTTTTTTGCCTGGCTTGCAACCCATTGCGCCCCCTCCGGACCCCAAAAATTCGCGCGGGAAAGGCAAGGCAGACATGGTCAGTCGATTTCTATTTCGAATAAGCGCCGCATCTGGTGATCTACGAGTGATGTTGTTCGCGGATCCTCGAGTATAAATGTTGCCTTCTCTCCCAAGTAAATAAGAGCAAACTACACACTTTCCATGCTCAGCCACTTCACTGCTTTTACTACAAAACCTTAAGTTATCATGCATTCTTCCATCAAACCCTCCTCTAAAAACCTTTTAGGTTTCTTTACTTTCTTGTCTCTTCAATTTCATGTCCACTGCTCACTCTCAATACAGACAATGGCCCCGCGGCTGTTTGTACCAGCTGAGGACAGTAACCCCCAGACCATAACGGCTGTCCCATCGTTTGCTCCCACACTGGATGAGAGAGACGACGACGACTTCAACGACGAACAAATTGGAGCGTATTTTTCCAGGCCTGGTGTCGATAATTGTCAGTTACTTCCCCCCTCTCCTCAAGAAAATCCCTTGGCTGACTTGTAACCATTTCTATTATACAGGGGGACAAATAATTTGCGAAAGCCTATCGGCATATACTAGTTCTGGAACCTTTGCGGGATGCTGGAAAACAACGGATTCTACTGTCGTTTTACCTACAGGATGCTCCAATGACTACGTGCAATACCCAAAACAATCAAGTACCGCCTGGTGAGTATTTCTGATACGCCCGCCTAGCCTCTAATTTTTAGTACCTCAACAGCTAACAAAACAGCACCGGCGATAACAAATGCGGTGTATTTACCATTTACGAGAGTCAGAGTGCAACAGCTACCAGTCACTTGTTTTATGAATGCTTACCTACGGATTGGGATCCTCCTATCCCAGCGACATGGTATCGCACTACTTGGCCAAGTAAGTAGCACATGCGTGTCGTTTCCCGGCTAGAATCATGTCGGTTTGCGAAGCAAGTCGAGTCTAAACTAACCCATTCCTCAGTTTCCGTACCCGAACCAACTTCAACATCTAGGCTGACATCGACTGCCACGAAAACCAAATTCAAAACAATAACATCATCATCTGTTACAAAAGAAGCTTCATTCGCGACACCTACGTCAAAGCGAACTTCCACAACATCGTCAACCTCGACAAGTGTTCCAGGAAGCCAAGCAGCTATTACACCAATCTCAATAGACAGCCGGACTGTGACCTCAAGAACAACAGTCGGATTTGGGCTTGGGTCAACGGCAGCCACGGCATCAACAACGGCATCTGAAACAACAGCTGACTCACGACAGACCCGCCCGATGCTAAGCCTTGTTGGTATCTGCTCGATCAGTGTGATTTTAATGGTGGTTTTTCTAGGCTGATGAGTGATGTTTGAAAGATTGCGACGTCTTAGGATTAAGGTTGTTGGTGGCGCGGATGGATAGTCCGTTGATGTTGATGTAGTCTGTTGATGTTGGGAATTTTTTAGAGTTAACTCTGTGGAGATACTTTCATTTTCTTCTAGGTTTCGTGCGATCCCATGCACTAGCTAATGCTTTTTTTTGTTCTTCAGACCTAATCTGAACGGTTCACACAAGTCTAGCTGATCATCATTCTTTTATATAAGCCATACCGGGCTTGTAACGTTCCTGTTGCTCCTTAATCTCAAGTGTTGTGAACCAGTGTGCCAGCAAGGGGCTTGAACAAGGAACCTAGGACTTCCATCATGGACATTCCTCTAAGCCAATGAATGCTAAATACAGGCCTGGACTGACCAGCGTTTGACCAGTCCTGCCTGCTTTGCACCCAGTCTTGATGCGACGGTATGGGATCTCAAGCCGATGAAAAATGACTGAAGTCGTGTCTGCCAGGCGAGCGTCCTGGGTAAAGTTTACTTGTTCAATATTGCCCCAATATTAATCCTGTGTTTATTAATCGTAGTTTCACGAGTTCAAAATCAACTACACACCTCGCCTCCGCTGACTTTTCAAGTGGCGGGTAAAAACTTGCTCAATTGTGCTCACTCCGAGTCACACAGCACTGTTTCAGCAGCAATAGCAGTCTGGACATCGTGCTCAGTACCAAAACCGACAGATGAATGCAGTAGAGCTCGTTCAATGGAGGGCCGGAACTTGTAGGTTATCAATTGGCTCATCAACAGGGCACTTATTTAGGCCACTGGTAGGCACTCTGGGCGAGTGCATGATTCCCTACTATGTGTAAAGCTCATCCCTTCAGCGTAATGTACAGTGTAATCAATACCCTGCACGTGCCCCACAAGTGTGCTTTTTCCTCTGAGACAAACAGATTCTCTCTCCTAATTACCTGGGGCCCTGAGAGGAGGTTGGTTTCCTGGTAAGCGACGCACCTTTGTGAGGGTCTCCAGCACGGGCTTACACACTCACGCTCTATCTTCAGAGCCTAGCGACAAGTTGGCTGAATGCAATACCGGTGGTCCCTTGCAACGGAACTTGGGACTTATCCTCGGGCCGGATGATTCAGTAGCTACCAAGACTTGGATAGCTAGACCGTCTCTCCACCATGACTGAGCTCTCACCCATCCCAGCAGACCATCCCAGGCCAGGACTACCATCCGCAGTTCTGGCCCGGCCTCCCTTATCGCCTCAGGGACACGCTGGTCCGAAGAGCTCTGTACGGGCTCTGTACCTGGTCCAGCTGCTTTCGACATGGGCCATGAGGACATCCGACTTCAGCCTGATCCTTTTCCTCACGGATGCTATTCCAGGAACCCTGCTCTACATCTCTATTTACGGCCTCACCAAGGCGCTCGTCGCCGTGCTGCTCTCTTCGTGGGTCGCTCAAAGCACACGGCGGCTCAGTCGGCTGCACGCCCTCCAGCTAGCCATTGCATGTCAGAGGATTTCCGTGGCCGCGTCATGTTTTCTCTTTAGCTTATTCCCTTTATTCGATGCGCACTCGCGCCTCCGAGACAGCTTCTTTGCTCTCTTGACATGTTTTGGATGTCTGGAGAAGCTGGCTTCCATCACGAGCGTCGTCATCATTGAACGCGACTGGGTCATCGTGATTGCGGAGGCTGGATCGGTTCCCAGGCATGGCCTGAATGCCCAACTACGGAGGATTGAGCTTTTTAGCAAACTTCTCTCGCCACTTATCATCTCCTTCTTCAACTCGTGGTCTCCGCAGATTGCGATATGGGCTGTCTTGTTTTCCAATCTTGGCTCTATGCTCGTCGAGTTTCGCGTCACGAGTCAGATGTGGTCCTCAGTACCCGGATTGGCTCGCTCGCCAAGCTCAACTGTCGATGATGGGATCGCGATTGAAGACAATCTTCACGTGTCTTCAACCTTCGGGTCGACCCATGACACTGGTCAGGGCCGCTGGCTTTCCAATGCCATTCAGCCCTGGCGGGAGTACACCAGGTCGCCTGCTTTCTTCGCATCCTTCTCCAACGCAGTTCTCTACTGGACTGTCCTCTTTTTTGGTGGTCAAACCATAACATATCTCTTGACGACAGGCTTCACGCCCTTTGAAGTCGCTTCTCTTCGCGTCGCATCAACTATCGCAGAAACACTGGGGACCGTCATATCGCCGCCTATCATGGCGAAACTGGGACCGGGCCCAGCCGGCGTATGCTTTATGGCGTGGCAGCTTATTTGCATAGGCGTTTTCGCTGGTAGAATCCTAGCTGCTGATATGGTCACCAAGGGATCTGGCATTCTGTTGGCCATCGGTATCACTCTCAAGAGAATTGGCCTCTGTGGATCGGACCTTTCAATACAATTCATTGTTCAGGAGGTAAGCATGCTAGCACAACCATCACACCAAGAGCTCTGAGGTTCCGTACCTGGTCGTGATTAGCTAACAATAGGCATAGATAGTACCTGCTTCACTCCGGGCACAATTCTCCTCAACCGAAATGGCATGCCAGAACCTTTTCGAACTGTTCTCCTACTGCACGACCACGATATATTTCCGAGCCGAGGACTTTAAATACCCTGTTTTCATCAGCTATGGAGGCATCATAGCATCTACCATTTTCTATTCCACATATGTATGGCGGACTCGCCGATATTATTCCTATTTGACGATCGCTCAAGACTCGTCCTGAGGTGTATAAACTAGCTACTTAAATAATACTCATCCAATTTGAACCATGCGGAGTCTAATCTATAAGATCTGCTGCCTCTTCCCGCTCTACACGCTTTCGAATGCCATCTCGATACGGCTGCAGCAGACGCAGCACCTCTTCGTCCTCCGCGAGATCCCAGGGCGTCAAGTCCGCACTTGGAAAACTGAAAGGGTTGTGCTCAAGCAACAACTCCACTACCTCTGCATGGTCGTTGTGCGAGGCTTCGACCAGAGCCCACCAGATTGAGTCCTGTTTGAACTCCACGGACCTGGCATCTTGTTTGAGACAGAGTGCCACTATATCCTTCAGACCACACTTTGCCACTCCTCTCAAGACGCATTCGTCACTGAAATCGCCACCGAATGGGTCTGCACCATGCTCGAGGAGTATTTTCATTGCCTCGTCCTTCTCTTCTTGGAAAGCGTGCATCAAAGGTGGCCGTCCTTCAATATCTGGGTTCACTGAGGCATGATGCGCCAGCAGAGTCCTAATCACAGCTTCATTACCATTTGCTGCGGCCCAGGACAAGGGCACCATGGCGTCCCACATTCCATCATCTTCGGTATCATCGGGCATGTTTACGTCGGCGCCTTCCTCGACAAGTAGAGCTACAACGTCCTCGAGGCCTTCCTCGGCGGCATAAGACAATGGCGCACGTCCCTCTCCGTCCTTGATACCCAAGCAGGCTCCGTCAGTGATGAGCAACTTCGCTACTTCGACATTCTCTCTCTCGATTGCGAAATGGAGGGCCGTTCTGCCCCATTCGTTATCTGTCAGATCCAGATTTGCGCCTCTGTCGATGAGAACTTTCGCAGCGTCGGAGTGACCCCTTTTTGCAGCCCAGAAAAGCGCTGTGCGCCCCTTTTCGTCTTGTGCATCCAATATCGCACCGGCTTCGACAAGTATTCTCACCACCTCGTGTTCTCCCTCCGCTGCAGCCCGAGACAGAGGCGATGCTCCAACATCATCTTGGTGATTCGCGTCTGCTCCGCTCTCCAACAACAATTTGACGGATTCCACTGCGCCACCTTCGGCAGCGAATGAGATGATTGTTCTTTCGTCGGTAAAACGGATGTGAGGATCTGCGCCTCTATCTAAAAGCACCCGGAATTGCTCATCGCAACCGTGCAGGGCTGCCAACGCAAGGAGCGTATAAGTTCCATAATCCCGTCCGTTGACGTCAACGTCCCATCCGTCCAACAGCTTTGAAAGAATCTCACTATTACCGGGGGTGGTAGCTGCGGCTTGGATAGCTGAGACTTGCACGGGGCCTCTGAGAGAGCGTTCCAGTAATAGGGCAGTTGCGCCCTCTTCTCCCTCTGTGATAGCCCATGCCAAGGGAGACATGCCTCGCTTTCGGTCTTCATTCTCCATGCCGGCTTTATGCTCCAACAACAGTTTGAGGATGGCTTCGTGCCCATTGATCGCGGCCCAGATCATCGGCGTGCGCTCACATTTGCAATCGTCCTCGAGATCTATGTTGGCACCGTAGTCCAGCAGTAGCTGGACAACGTCAATGTGATCGTAGATTGAAGCTAAGGACAAGGAAGTCTGCCCTTTCTTCCACGCTCTAGCATTGGGGTCTGCGCCTGCTTCGAGCAAGAGCTTCGCGACAGCGGCGTGCCCATGGCGGGACGCTTGCAGAAGAGGTCTCTCGCCTGATGTATCACAAGCGTTGAAGTCGGCGCCGCCACGCAGAAGTAATTCAGTCACCTCCACGTGCCCATTGGCCGCGGCCTGGGTCAAGGGCGTGCGACCCAAAAGGGCATCGGGAGCATCAACCTTGGCTTGTCCATCAAGAAGGGTCTGGACAGCGCTCGTGTGTCCTCTCTCGGCGGCCCAGGACAATGCCGTTCGCCCAAACTCTGTGTCGCGACAGTTGACATCTTTCCCTTTTCTCAACTCGTCTGATAGTGCCGCGGCGTCTCCATTGGCAGCAGTGATGATGAGGGTCTCCTCCCACGGACAGGGCTTTGTGGACATGGCTTACACTGCTAACAAAGGTGTTTTACAGAGCAGATCGCAGGCAGGAACGATTTCCGTTGTAAGAATGGCAGAGCTCTCGTTAATTCAAGTACCACGATGTATTTAACTTTCTGGACCAGTAGAGCAACCGAAAACTTTTGCTCGTATTCGTTGATGGCCCGGAACGGCAACTCGAGAGTGAGTGCAAGACTTGATTGGTGCAGCAAGTGCCGGATTGTCCTAAAATTCACGAACTGGTGACATACTCCCTGTAAATTCGCTCTGCTGCCTGCCAGTCAACCAATCGTTTCGGGTTGCTGTCATGTTTCGATTCTGATGTTCTCGGCAGCCAGTCCACTTAGGGTTAGAGCATATTAATAGCAGTTGAGGGAGCTTCATTATGGAACCGGAGGTGTTATTAGGGCATGCGACAATTGCAATGCGTGACAATCCGCTCATGGACGTCCCAGAAAGCGCAACGCGGATGGACGTTATGGCGCTTGCACTTTGGATTGAGGCTGAGGTGGGTGCTGTTTGGAGTGTTGGCTGCTGGAACGGAAAATCCGGTTGCCTTGGAGTGACGAAACCCAAACGTTTAGCTTCAGAGATGGCAAGAATGTGGCGGAACCCGCCTAGGTTTCTGAGCAGGTTGAGCTGGTGTGATGCTTTCTATAAATTCTATAATTTTGACCCCTTGGCTCTCTTTACATCTCGCTCTTTGTCTCTTAATAGTCGACGAAGGATCTTTCCACTTGGACTCTTAGGAATAAGCTCTAGGAATTGGACTCCTCCTCTTAGTTGTTTGTATGAAGCCTTGTGGTCTGCCACGTGCTTCATGATATCACTCGCCAACTCGTCATCAGTCAACGACCCAGCCAGTGAACTCTTTACAACAAAAGCTTTAGGTACCTCCCCTGAGTGGTCATCGGGTATTTGGATCACAGCACAGTCAGACACGTGCGGATGCGCCAGTATATGGGCCTCGAGCTCTGCAGGCGCTACTTGATGACCCTTGTAAATTGTCAGTCTCTGTTTCGTATGGATACAACGTTCACTCACCTTGACTTTGATCAACTCCTTGATCCTATCAACGATGACAACATGTTCGTTGCCTGATGGGGCGAGAGTAACCAGTGCTTCGTCTCCTGTGCGGATCCACCTGCCATCTGAATGGTGAACAAAAGTTTCCGCGTTGGCTTTCTCGTTGTTCAGATAGCCCAACACAACAGAAGGAGCCTGGACGTAAAGCTCCCCGGGCTTGTCATATTGAGTGACTTCTTTCCCCTCTGGATCAACTATCTTTCCTTTTGCCCCTGGCAGAAGGGAGCCAGAGCCTTTGGTGAGCACGTCATCTTCACTTGACGCTGTGACGACTGTGGCAGTTTCCGTCATGCCTATTTTGTTAGACTCGATCTTCATCTGCGGGGGTCCGTCCGTGAACACTCACCGTAAGCCTGGGCTATGGTCCATTGTGGGTACAGGTCTCTCGTATCTCGAATCGTTTCTTCACCAAGCGGCGCTGCCCCACAGAAGACGAACCTGACGCTGTTCAGATCGAACTTGGCACATGTCTCTTTGTGTTGCAGAATTTGAATAATTATGGGGGGCACCTAGGCCGGTTGGTTAGTGATCCAGGCTAGCAGCTTGTGCTTATGATAACTAACCACCAGTAGCTGTCTGATCTTGAAGTCCTGAACGGACTTGAGAAAGTTGTGGAAGTTGAATCGGGGAAGAACAACGACCTGGTCACCTCGCCATGTACTGGTATGCGCGGCAATGACGAGACCGTAAATGTGCGAGAAGGGGAGGAACCCTGTAACTGCCTGCGTAGTCACGCCTTTTCTAGCTTTAGCAACAGAGTCAAAAGTGACATGCTGCAAGACGTTTGAAATCACATTGCAATGGGAAATCATGACGGCTTTCTACGGTTGGTGTTAGCCCACGTCTCCATCCTGAGGGAACCGTGCATACCGGCAAGCCTGATGTTCCACTTGAAAAGCATAAGAAGGCCGTTTGACGAGCACCTTGGCCACCAACCCATCTCAGCTGATCGATCTCACCAAGTCCAGAACCCGAGACTATTAGGTCCTCCACTGTCGCATGTTGGAAACGTGAAGACGGCTCAGCCTCTGGAATGTCAAAGAGAAACACGTTCTCATCCGGTATCCCAACGCTGCGGGACGCCTCGAGAGCTGTTGAGAGTAAAGGGGTACACGTAATCAGAGCCTTCGCTCCGGATGACTTGAGTTGATGCGTCAATTCGGCAGCAGAATATGCTGCATTGGCTGGCGTGACAATTCCCGACAGGCGATGAACTCCGTAGATGGCGGTTACGAAATCAATCTGGGCGTTTTGGGTTAAAATTCTATCCCAAGGGGTTCAGAGCAGAGGTACGAACGGTGTTGAAGGAGAAGATTGCCACAACCTTCTCCCAGGGTGCCCCCTCATTTGGCTGCCATTGCAGGTGCTTGGCAAAGGCTCTGGCTAGGTACTCTGCTCGTTGGAAGAATTCAGAGGTTGAGTACGTACGATGAGTGATTCCGCAAGTAAACGGATCTCGGCTTTTGGAAATTGGGAAACGGCCATATGCTTCGTTCTGCATGAACTCTGAAATGGGAATCGAGTCCGGAGGATCTGTGGCTTGTCAGCGAGTGGTTGATGCTGGTGCATGTAGGCCATTGGTACGCACCTATCGGCAAACTAGGCACCCAGCTAGGGGAGGAGAACACCATGTTGGGTCGTTTGGCGGATGGATCTGTCACAGTTCGGCGCGCTGTACGTTATTTACCGCGCAGTCAGAGTACCCAGACTGACTGTTGAGCTCTGCTGGGTTGGGACACCATCGGTTGAAGTCACTTGATATGTGGCGATGGTGTTGGTGGCTAGTCCTATAACAGATAACCGAGACCGAGACCCAACCCCGGTGCTTTAACCAGGGCGCGATCATGGGGTTGGTTGCATTAGCCGAGATGGGTAGTCCACCCGGCTCCAACCACCCTGCCGTCTATTCATGTGTATGCCATCTACAGTATGAGCCAGGTCGGCTAGAGCACAGATTTGGTATACTCCCGCCTTAGACTAGCAACTTTCCCCACGTTTTGTCCAATGAGATTCAGGCCAGTGGCAGTCAAAATTGCCTCGGCATCATCTCGCTGCCAATTGTCGGCGAAGGTGACTTGATGCGATGAGATAAGATGGAGAACTCTTGATATGCAGGCCTTGTTGCCCCAGGTTATAGCTGTTCTGAGAAAAAGGTCCCAGAATTTATTCACAGTACCACAGTGCTTTCAACTCATCATGGCCATTTCAAACCTTGAACAAATCCCGACCACTATGTGGGCATGGAGGAAACATAGAGGGAACCCCAAGCCAGTACGTGATATCGTCTCCAACTCAAACCATGGCTCCTAACGCCGTCGAGGTATATGAACAAGTTCCCGTTCCCAGCTTGCCCTCTAATGGCATTCTCTGTAAAATGTTGGCATCGGGTGGTACGAGCAGCCGCTTCTCCAACGTGTGGCGAGTGCTGACTGTCATTCAGTCTGCAGAAGTGACCACTCCCTACTAACCATAGACAAACAAGCGGCCTGGTTTGAAGACAAGTATATTCTGGTATGGTCGCTATCTAAGGGTATTATGCAACTGCAACTGACGATAATCGCGTAGGGACATGAAGGCTGTGGGCAGATCATCGGGATAGGCAGTGCAGTACAGGATGGCAAGTTTCAGGTGGTAAGAATCATACTGAAAGACATCCATGTCGCCGCTAATCGCACGCTTAGGGCGACGTTGTGGCCCTTCATGCAGTGCCCGGTTGTGGGCAGGACGATTGCCCGGAATGTTCGCGCGACTTGGCCCAGCTGTGTGAGAGAGGTCATCACTCCGGCATTGGTCAAGACGGCTTTTATGCACCTTATGCGGCGATCGACATACGAGGCGCCGTAAAAGTCCCTGAAGGTAATAGTCACAACACTGAGCACAATTGAGCATTCTAGCTAAATCTCTGGCAGGCGTCACACCAGCGGAAGCAGCTGTTGCGACGGACGCAGTCAGCACTGCATATCATGCCATCACGAGAAGAGGACAAGTCACGAAGGACGAGACGGTCTTTCTTTTCGGGCTTGGCGGCCTAGGGCTCAACGCTCTTCAGATCCTCATCCACATTGGAGCCAGGGTCATTGTCTCGGATATCCGACAGGAACTGCTTGACGAAGCACAGAAGCTCGGCATCCCGTCTCGCCATCTGGTTCCCATTGGGACGGCCCCCCAGCAATTCATCGCGGACAACGGCCTTTCTGGAAAAGTCGATACGGTCCTGGACTTTGTTGGAACTCATCAAACGTTTGAAGATGCTCAGCATATTGGTTAGTCTCCCAGGTCCATTGAATGTGCTCTGGATAAGAATTGACATATGCAGTACGGCGCGGAGGCAAGCTCCTTTGCATTGGGAGTCTGGACACCGAAAACACAATTCATATGAAGATTGGAACAAGAAAGAGACTTTCATATATCTTCTCTTACGGTGGCCAAGTGAAGGATCTCGAGCAGGTTCTTGACCTTATTGCGGCTGGGCGCATCAAGCCTCAGGTTGAGACACGAAAACTTGAAGATTTTGATCAAGTTCTTCAGGCACTTTGCGATGGAAAGGTACGGTCGCGTGTTGCTTTGCTGCACGAGTAGACAGAAGAACTAGTAGATGGTTGATATGACAATGATCCTCTCGTCCAGCTTCATCCATTGACACTTGCACTTGCTGGTAGACTGGTTCCGACTGCTGCGGTAGTACCAGCATCTACTGGCAATATGGCCCCCGTGATCCATCTGGCATGGTTGCTTGCCAAGAACACAACAGCGCAGGCTGCATCCCATCCCGTCCCCTCGGTTCCAAGCAGGCTTCGCGCTTTTCTGGCCTCCCTGGCCTCATCCGTCATTCCTTTCGCGTACATCATCGGGGTGTAAAGCATCTAGAAGTAGTCAGTAGACCGATAACTTCTAGGGCATGAGGCACTTACTCCAGGGCAAACACAATTGACTCTGATGCCCTCTTTGGCATGATGTGCGGCCATTGCTCGGGTCATGTTGACGACGGCGCCCTTGGCAGTCGGGTAGAGGAGATGCGGTGTTCCTCCTTTCAACCCGGCCACACTCCCCATGTTGACTATCGACCCTTTGATTTCACCATCATTTTTGAGCATGGCGGGTATGGCATACTTTGCCATAAGAACCATACTCGACACGTTGACGTCGAGGCCTGCGGTCCAGCCAGCCATGTCCACATCGACAGCCGTCCCCGATGGCCCTGCTATGCCGACGTTGTTGACCAGTATATCTAACCGACCCAGCTTCTCCAGTGCCAACGCGACGACCTTTTCACAATCAGCCGAGACGGTGACATCACCCTGCGCTGGAATGGCAGTCTTTTGGCCAGATCTCTGGTTAACCATGTCCGCTGTCTTAGTCGCCCATTCCAAGTTCATGTCGAGACATATCACACTGCATCCCTCATCCGCCAGCATGATGGAGATTGCTCGACCGTTCCCGATCCCATCTCCGAAGCAGCCGGCGCCTGTCACGATGGCGACCTTGTCTTTGAGTGAGCGGGAGGGCGGATTAACAGGAATCTCAGACGACATGATGCAGCATAATCTGGCACGGAAATATGTAGAAATAATTGTTATTATTGAAAGCTGCCCTGTTTATCCGATAGTCGCATCTCATCAATAATTATGTCTGATCTTCTTCTGCGAGCAAATGTCGGATCTCGAATGTTGCTAGCACGGCTATCCCAATTAGTCAATCCCGGGTCCGAGTCCGGCCTCGCAGTGGAGGAGAAATGGGATGGAAGAGTGGTCAGCAATGAGTGCCTCAACTTCAATGTCACCCACCTGTCAGAGTGGAGTCAAGCCGAGGCTCAGCTGAGGAGAAAGCAGAGAGTTGGACAGCCTGCCACACCCATACAGATAATCAGCGTTTGGCAACAATAGAACAATCTCATTCAATCACAAAGTTAACAACATGTGCGACTTTTCTCAATATGGTGGCAAGTCAGAGGAATGGCTGGCATTAGAAGCGAGCCTGCCACCGCCTCCCACCTTCGCAGATGTTTATGAGAGACAGCGGGCAGTCAACCGAGGTCGAGAGGAGGTCTCGGCCGTGGCCATGGAACAGCTGGCTCCTTCGATTCGTCTCAAAGATCACAGCATTCTTGCCAGAGACGGAACTACGCTGGAAGCTCGAAGCTACAGGCCAGCAAATATCGAGGATAATGTCCGTCTTCCCATCTACATCCACCTTCATGGAGGAGGCTATTTCTTCGGCTCGCTATCTTCAGAGGATGCTATATCTACCCGGATTGCACTTGGGGCGGGAGTTGCGGTGGTAAATGTCAATTACCGCCACACACCAGATGCTACGTTTCCCACCGCGTGGAACGACGTTGAAGATGCATTCTACTGGGTACACGATCATATCGATGAGCTTCGTGGTAACTCTGATCAGGTTCTGGTTGGGGGTATCTCGGCCGGCGCTCAGCTTGCGGCTGCCTTGGTCTTGAGACAGAATGTCGCCTCGCCCGATATTCTCCCAAAACCCAAGATTGCCGGACAGATCTTGATGATTCCAGCGTTGGTTCACTCCGGCTCATACCAGTCTCAGCTGGACCAGCTGTCAGATCCCTCGCTTTCCTCCTATGTCGAGAACGAGCATGCGCCTATTCTTTCGCAGAAGGTCATCCAATTCTTCACCGGATTACTGAAGCTTCCGGTTCTAGATCCTGAACATGAAGATCTTCGCTTGAATACCGGCAATGCGTCAACGCTACAAGTAAGAGGCTTGCCACCTACGGTGTTTGGCATAGCTGGACAGGATCCCTTGAGAGATGAAGGACTACTGTATGGCAAAAAGCTAGCAGAGGCAGGGTAAGATTACCCTAAGAAACTCGATTACTCATGCTTACTTACATTCAATCATTATAGCGTTGCCACAGATATTCACGTCTTCAAGGGCTTGCCGCATGGATTTCGCCGCTATGGTGAACAGCTGAGTGAGTCAGCGCGATGGGATAAAGCCATGGAGAATGGAATCAGATGGGCCATTTCGAATCCCGATCCATCTGGGAAATTTGAGGTTAAAACTGCCTAGTACCAACATGATAGGTCTTTGTAGCAGATATCGTTTAAATTATTCTACAATCTAGTCGTGTCCCAGTACGAAATCTGAGTACCCCCGCTCCTTGACCTCGTCACATCTCTTTCGGTAGCCTGGCGCTGGCCCATTGTATCGTGTCATGGACCGCTTCTGCTTGTGGGCCAGGTTCTTGTTGACGCCAGTCATCCATGAGTCAACTTCGTTTGCTAGAAGTCCCTGGCCACAATCGTGCACATGTTGTGTCCAGTCCTCCATCCCCTTCTCGGTCGCTTCCACGGACGTCACTTTGTTGTCCCGGGCATAGCGGATAAAGTCCGCTACCCAATCCGCTGCATACTCGATGGATCTGAAAGAAATTTGTTGTGAGCGACATATGCCTAGCTAGAAAGAGGGGAAAGGATGAATACCTTGGGATGTTGCCAAACATCTGGTGTGGCCCCATGATCATGAACATGTTGGGAAAGTCCTTGACGGTGAGGCCCAGGTACGTCCGGATGCCGCTGGCCCAAACATCTTTCAGCTTGGTCCCGTTGCGGCCCTGAAAGTCCACAGCATTAAAGGACCCGGTTACAGCATCAAATCCGGTGGCGTAAATGAGGATGTCCAGCTCATGGAATGCGTCCTCGGTCTGAACGCCGGTTTCTGTGATTTGGGAAATCGGGGCTTCCCGAACATCGACCAGCTTGACATTCGGCTGGTTAAAGACCTCAAAGTATCCGCTCTCGAGCGGAACTCGTCTTGTGCCAAAGCCGTGGTTTTTCGGGATCAGCTTCTCGGCAATCTCTGGGTCTTTGACTCTTGAGCGTATCTTGTCTGCGTGAAACTTGCTATACAATGCATTTGCCTCGCGGTCTGTGAACACATCTCCAGAGATGCTGAGTACCTTGGCAAACCCAGGTAGGGCGTACAGCTTCTCCCAGTGTTCTTGACGTTCTTCTTCTGTCATATCGAAGATGCTTGTGGGGTCGCTCACATGGATGAAGCAAGAATACGACTCGAGGCATTGGCGGAAGATTTCCGGATATCTCTTTCGGATTTCGTCCATCTCCTCAGGGCTGATCTTGCTGTTTCGCAGAGGAGCAGTCCAGTTTGGCGTTCTTTGAAAGACGGTCAGGTGGCCGACCTTGTCGGAGATGGCCTGGATGGTCTGGATCGCTGTCGCGCCGGTACCAATGATGCCCACTCGCTTGCCAACAAGGCTGGAGGCATCACTTGGCCATCTTGCCGTATGCCAAGACTCGCCTCTGAAGTTCTTTACGCCCGGGATATTGGGCAAGGTCGGTTTGTTCAAGATGCCCATCGCCGTGATAAGATACCGGCATGTGTAGTGAGCGCCATCGTCATCCTCGAGAAGCCATGAAGAACTATCTTCTTGGAACCGTGCCGAGCTGATGCGGGTATCAAATTGCATGTCTCTCTTGAGGTCGAACTTTGAAGTGAGGTACTGGATATAGCGAAGTGTTTCCGGTTGGGGAGCGAAATGCTCCGTCCACTGCCATTCGTCGAGCACTTCTTGCGAGAATGAAAAAATGTAAGAGTAGCTCTCAGAGTCAAATCGTGCTCCAGGATATCTGTTCCTGCTTGGAGTCAGTTGCTGGTTCAAGATACAGCCATGGATGTTGAGATGCTTACCAGAACCAGGTTCCTCCCTCGGCAGATCCGGCTTCAATGACTCGTGCCTTCAAACCGAGCTCTCGCATGCGGTACAGGCTGAGGATGCCTTTGAGTCCGGCACCAATTATGAGAACATCATAATCCAGGTCGGTGTTTGACGATCCAAAAGCATCGTCCCGGAGTGGTTGTGCAGAAGGCATTGTGAGAAGATGTATGGGTATGGGGGTGGGAGGAAGAAGAGAAGCCAAACCAGGCAGAGAATAAATTGATAGAGGAAGGATAGAGTATTCACAACTGAGTTGTTATCCACAGGTCTTCTGAATGATTTAAGCAACAAGCCTTGTCCTCAAAGTCCTTGTCAACCCCGCGTCGTCCCCGCGTCCCCGCTTCATCCGGGTCCGGGTTGAGATCTGGCAATTTGGTGGTTCGGCTTTAGAAGACTAGATGATTTCGGGCATGAGCCGGATATGTTAACTATTACACCAACCCGCAGTGGACTAGACAGGATTCCAACGTGGCGCTTCTCCCGAATAGGATAACCATTCCACAGCCGAAGAGTTTGCCGTTTTCTCATCGCCATAGCCGGAGGCAGAGGGGATATCCGCTTCTTGGCAACTCAATCCAAGGACATGGGTAAACGTGCACGAGCGAGTTATCAAGGCCAAGGGAGGTGGCGTAGCGCTAGTATCTTGTTTGTTGAATTTGCTTGCGTGGCTATCTCTACAGTAAACCCTCGGCTTTCCAATAATTCTCAAGATCGCGGAGGAAAGCCCATTTCAGCCCTTTACCGAACCCGCGAGCTTTCCAATCATTCAGACTTTGCGGAAAGTGCGGTACACCATCTCGCACCGTAGAGTCATGGGCCACAACAACAAAGATGTCCTGGTTGCAGTCCAACTCCTGTAGTTGACGGGTAGTCTTGGCGGCAAGTTCCAGATCCAGACCGAACGTCAAGTCGAATAGACTATCGGTGGGCTCCCTTCCTCGTGATTTCTGCAGGCGTGCGAATGCCTCCCCGGGGCATAGAGCACTGTGGTCTTGCTTGGGGTGGCAGGGGTGTGGAGAGATGGCGTCTGGAATCGGTAGATATTGAGACGGTCGGAAAATGCCAGCATAATGGCAGACATCTCCACCCATCAGAATGAATGTGTCTGGTTCAGTAGTCGTCCTAGCCAGACCGCATAGATGACCTACAGCGTGCCCAGGACTATCCAGTAAGTAGAATGATCCATCCCCGAAATAGTCAAAGGCGGGGAACTGGCCAATCTTGAGTGAGTGCGGGCCTTCGAAACTGATCTCACGCAGATTGCGACCGCTAATTTCTGTTGTCATTATCAAGCCATTTGAACACCTGTCAGTGAACTCACGCATAATCCTTCTCTTGGATGGGTGACTCTGGATTTGCTGGAGCGCCGGGAAGCATGGCTTCTTTGAAGCCTGGTCCGACGACAAGATCCGTCTTGGGGGGGAATGTAGAAGGATCACCGATATGATCCCAATGCCAGTGACTATCAAAGCTTGAGTGACTGCGGGAGATTTGAAACATTCTTGGTGTGATGACAAGGGCTACTTACCTCCATATCACTGCTTCAATCTCATCTAAGGGGACGCCATTCTGCTCCAGAATATCTGCCACATTCCCCACCACCTCGATGTTGTATTTTGTAGTCGGGAGGTATTTCACAATCGAGGGCGCGTAGTTGTCATAGTCCTTTCGGATTCCCAAGTCAAACACGAGTTTCCTTCCAGACCTGTGCTCAAGAAGGAATGACAAGGACGGCGAGCTCTTGAAAGTCTCGAGGCCTGGGACAGGTGGTGCCATGAACCTCTGGAGAATCGCAGGCCCAAAGTTGACAGGGTTGATCAGCTTGACGGCTTGCATTGCCTCTCCTCGAGGGAGCTCACGATGCGGTGGGCTTGGCGCCATGTTGGTTTGCCAATGTACAAGAAAGTCTCGTGCGACAACAGCAAGAGATGGCTAGTTGAAGCTGAACAAAAACACATGTGACAAATCGGATCCAGAGTCAATAAACTCGCGCCTAATGGGTAGACTAACTAGTGTTGGGTCTGGGTCGTCGGCAAACCTGTCGGTAACCTTGGTCGGGTAACGTCGCCCAGCCACGAGACGTCTAGCCCAGTTTGTACGGCACAACATGAAGCCTACCCCGGACCCCAACTTTCCCCGGACTGCCCGTGTGCTCCGTCCCCCAGGTCAAACCTGTTCGATGACCGTGAGGAAATTGAGCATAAGTATCCAGCTTTGGCACACGTAATGTCGCATCCGACAACTCAACAGCAAACACATTCGGATCAACCATGTCTGACTCTGACAAAGGCGCCGCGATTCAGCACCACGAGGGCATGGCTGAGGTACAGACCCAGAAGACGGTAGATACCGTCCACAGAGATGAGGCAGTCAAGGTTTTGGCAGCCTACGAGGGCGATGAGGCGTGGACCGATGAGGAAGAGAAGAGACTACGCCGCAAGATTGATTGGAGGCTCATGCCCGTTCTCTGCGCGACATACATGCTGCAGTATTACGACAAGGCCATGCTTTCCCAGGCTGTATGTGCTCCTATTCCTAGGCCTCTGGCAATAGCTTACTAAACCTTTATACACAGGCCTTATTCGGGTTGAGACAAGACCTTGGCCTCCTCACTGGAGATCGATACGCCATGTCGGCTGCCATCTTCTACCTTGGCTTCATCGTCGGTGCCTACCCAAGCATGATGCTCGCACAGAGATATCCGGTCGAACGAGTCGCTTCTGCCATTGTCACAGTTTGGGGTGTCTGCCTTATCTTGACAGTGGTCTGCAAGGACTACAGAGCACTCTATACAGAGAGATTCTTCCTTGGATTCTTGGAGAGCGGCATCAGCCCCATGTTCATGATGATTGTCGTAAGTGTCCATGTGCCTCCTAAGCTATCGTGCACCTACTCATTTCCCTTAGGGAAGCTTCTATAAGAAGAATGAACAAGCCATGCGGATGGGGTAAGTACTTGAACCCACGAGTACCTATGCATAAATATTGACTTGGGAAATAGCATCTGGTACAGCTGTACCGGTTACGTCTCCATCATCTCTCCCCTCGTCAACTATGGATTTGGCCTCCTCAACGGGGGCGTTTCCTCTTGGAGATATATGTACTACTTCGCCGGTTCTCTCACGATCGTGTGGGGCATTATACTCGTCTTCGTGCTGCCTCCCGACCCTATTCGAGCCAAGGGCTTCAACGAGAGAGAACGATACATCCTTGTCGCCCGACTCAAGACAAATAACTCGGGAGTCCGGAATACTCACCTCAAAGTCGCTCAGATCTGGGAGCTCTTGCTAGATGCCAAGTTCTGGGCCGTCTTCGCCATCGCCTTCTTGTCAATG